AGAATACACTGTTATTGGCGCCCTTCCAAAATAGACTCGGAACTTTTGCACTGCTAACAGAACTGCAAGTGCCTCTCTCTCGGTCGCGGAATAATTTCTTTGTGTTTGATTTAAAGTTCGACTAAAAAATGCCACGGGCTGCTGATTTTGCGAAAGTACCGCTCCTACCGCATAATCCGAAGCATCCGCTGAAATTTCTAAATTCTCATCCTTTTCAGGAAATTTCAAAACAGGGGCTTGCGTTAATGCTTGCTTTAATTTTTCGAAAGCACTATTGGCTTCGGCCGTCCACGAGAATCTTGCCTTTTTCCTTTTTAATTTTAACAATGGTTCAGCAATAGCTGCAAAATCTTTTATAAAGGACCTATAATATGAACAAAGTCCTAGAAAAGAAGAGAGCTTCTTCGCCGTATTTGGCGGCGGATACTTTTGCACAGCGATTATTTTTGATTCGTCTGTCTCGATTCCTTTCTGAGATATTTTGTTGTAACCTAAGTATTTTAATTCAGGGGCTGCAAATTTGCACTTTTCGACATTAACTTTTAGACCGGCCTCATTTAATAATGAAAACACCTGTCTTAAATCCTGTACATGTTGGTCCAGATTATCACTAGTAATAATGATATCGTCTAAATAGATAAATGTGGACTTTCCAAGAACAGGCCTTAGCACAATGTCCATACATCGCTGAAATGTTGCCGGTGCCCCTGAAAGGCCAAACGGCATACGCAAAAAATGCATAAGTGCCAGACTTGGTTATAAAAGCAGTCTTAGGCACGTCCTTCCGGTCTAACCCCTATTTGAAAATAACCAGTCGTTAAGTCTAAAGTCGTCATATATTTGGTAGAAGTTATGTTCCTTAGAATTTCTTCAATAATAGGTAACGGATATACCGGATATTTAGTCATGGAGTTTAATTTACGATAGTCAATTGCGAAAACGCCACCTTTTTGGATGTGTTACTGGATAGTCATTATTTTTCTTACATAAAACAACCGGGCTAGCATAACTACTTGAGATGGGCGTTATGATCTTTTTACGTAACATATCTCTAATGTGCCACTCTATAATTTTTTCTTTATTCTTATCATACCGGTATGGTTTGTGGCGAACTGGCAGTGAATCTCCGGTGTCGATACTATGGTTAGTAACTTGAGTAAATCCTGGAATATCACTAAATAACGAAGCAAAAGCAAATTCACTTACCACTTGTCGGAATTTTTTGTTGCTCTCCTTAGGCAGGTGGTCAAGGTTTAACATTGGCGGTTCTGTTTTTTTCTCGAACTGGTTTCATCGTCAGCTTAAGGGACGCTTCGTTAAAATCCAGCGTTGCTTCTGCCTCTGAAAGAAAATCTATCCCTAAGATGATATGTGCTTGCAATTCTTTACTATAAAAAACATAATCTTTACTTGTTCGTCCTTGATACGAACGTATAGCGGTAATTTACCTATGCACTTACATCTTTCTCCCTGCGCAGCTAACACTGTCGTATTATCCGAATTATATATGCGGTATTTACGAAAATACTTCCTAAAAAAAAATCTTCTGCCACACAGGAACACTGCGCGCCTGTATCCAGGAGTGCGGTGGCTGGGATGTTATTTCACCAACACTTCAATCTTTGGAAGAGTCAAATTTTTCACCATTACTGTATTTAACTTGAAGGAAGAGGGGTTTTCTTGGCCTTCGGATTTCCGCACCCTCCCGTCAGCAGAAATCCGTTTTAGTTTAAATCTTTTTCCTTTCCATGCTTTCCTTCTTTTTCCACTGGCCTTCAGACTTTTTTTCCTGGATTGCTATTGAACTGTCGACGTTCGCCGGCTTGTTTTTGGATACTCGGGTTTCCTTGCCCACTGATTCGCTTTGCTTCCGTAGCCGTGTGCTTGACTTTGCTGTGGTCTTGGCGCACCAAATTGGTTTCGTTGCTTGATATTGGCGTCTTCTTTCAATGTCCGCCGTTCTTCTACTTTCAAACTGGATTGCTAGCTCAAATAACTTTTCCAGTGTAGTCGGATTCCTTAATTCAATAAAGTCTTGTACTTGGGGAAGTAGTAACCTCGGCAAAATCACTTGAATTATCTCAGGATCCGGACGGTTTCCATACAAGAGTTTGAAGACGTGAATTTTTCTTAAAATAAAGCTTGAGAGAGATTTTCGATTCGTTTCTGCTGATATATGCTGAAAAGTTCCGTTTCTAATTTCGCACGATCCCTTACGACAGGGAAGGCTTTTACTAAGGCAGTCTTGAAATTTTCGTAAGTATAGGTGGGACTTCCCGCTTGACCCAAGAGACTTCTGCCTATACATTTGAACCAATTAAGCGCTTGGCCCCTCAAAGCGCTGGTAGCTAAGGTGACTTTTGGAACTCATGTGCACGGGATACAGCATGAAGTGGTCATCCAATTTTTCCAAAAAACTGGTTACCGGTGAGTTTCCATTAAATGTTGCTTCTGGTTTCATCGATGCGCGCATGGTCTGGACGATGTAACCAAATCCTTCCAGGGCGGCAGCTGGCATTTCTGGATTCTGAGCCGCTTCTGCAGGCAGCACAGGTTCTTCTTGAAACTCGGCCATGGTTATTCTTCTTCGTCGGGCGCCACTATCAGGTTCAGTGTTCCTCCTTACTTTCTTTGGGGAACATGCAAAGACCTGACTCGGAACAGAGGAGCTTACTAAAGCTATGTTCAATAAATGTGGGAAGTAGACAAGGATACACAGGAAGGGTATACGAAACCCTTTATTTTTCTCTCTTTACAATAATTTCCGTACTTCGGAATACAGAGACCAACCACTTGTGGTCTGAACGTAAGAATATAAAAATATTAACTAAACTCTAACTTAACTTTGGAATTAATAACAAGTGCCTACGTGGAAGATTGGCCGTTATATTAACAGGAAGCCGTATGTAGTACAGAGAACTGTTAAACACTACAATACGTTTAAAATTATCAAGAGGATTAAACCTCTGGCCTGGAAGGCAACCAACCGAGTAAAACTGCTAAGGCAAGCGGCCTGCTTCTAATAACTCCTTCCTCTCTCTTGCTTGGCAAAAAGCCACAACTTAAGTACTTGGCGTTCGCCAGACAAATTTGCATAAATAAGTTAAAGCTTTTAATTCTGGCCGGAAGTAGAAAATAAGAAGTGATAGTAAAGATTTAAAATAAAATAAACGTTAGTAAACTTAAGATCCTTACAGCGTAAAAGTCAAGTTTGAAAATACACCTTATCCGCGTTTCAGAAACAGTCTTAGAGTTAACGACAGGGATGCAACAATTGCTTAGAATTGATATGAATACTTTTGTTTAACATCTGAAACTGCTTCCACTTCAGGAAGAATATTTTAACAAAATAGCTTATTATTATTTAAAGCATTACACAACTTACAAGGTTGAAGTTTCATTTTACATCTGGAAGATACATGACCTCTCTTATGACATCTGTAACAACGTACATGGTATTTTAATATCGCTCTTCTTTGCTCATTAGTTTTCTCACATTTTCCTACATCATGTTTATTTTGATTACAATAGAAACAATACGGCTTAGTCACCGTGGTTAACGCTGAAGCAGTAGGAACGCTTGCCCTTTTTATGTAATTATTTTTATTCTGCTTAACACCGTAATTTGTGTCTCTTTTCTTTGAGTTTATTATTAAACTAGAAGCTTCCTGACTCTCAACTTCCAATCTAATGAATTCGAGAAGTTCTGTTAGGCTATATTGCAGTTTAGAGTTTCTTTTTCTATTAAACTCCAGATTCATATCAACTGGTAGGTTAAAATACATTTAAAATAACTAGGTCCTTTATAGTGTTCCGTTTTAATTTCCGACACAATTTAGTCTGTACGCAGATTTTTGTGGCTAACTGTATATTGATTTCACAGGAATCGTATAGTGTTCTTAGTGGTTTCACATTGGACGAACTTCTAACCGGTTCAAGATTCAAGAGTTTATTCATATGCGAAGATATTACCAAATCTGTTCGTCCAAATTTTTCTTTAATTAAACTTATAAGAAAACAGGCTTAACAGGAGCGTCATAATTTTCGTTAGATTAGTGCAAATCCGGATACTGCACTTAAAGCAGGTCCTGCGAGTTAAGGATTTAAGATAGGTAAACTTCTCGACCTTTGTTAACTCATTATTATTACCAACAGCATTTTCAAAGGAATTATAAAATTCCAAAAATAAAACTAGGATCACCATAATATTTAGGAATGAAATTTTAGGTAACCGAATGTTAGTTTTGTTTTCGACCTTTACGGCAGCCAATATGTTTACCAGGCGATTCACTTTCAATGTCACTATCTGAGAATTTAAAATTAAGTTTCTTTTAGCCCTAAAAAACATAAAACTCATTTTTTCATCATACCCTAACACAGTATTACATTCTTTCTCAATTTCAGACTCATCCCCTTTAAAACAATCCAATATTTTTCATCAATTTCTTTCAACGCAGACTGTTTAGAAGTAAGTTAAAACACATTTTCTTCTACCATATTCTTATCCCAAATGTCTTTTTTAATTTCAGGTTCTAGTACATTTATTATTTTAGAAATAGCTTGTCTCATGACTTTTCTAGTAGATTTCAATTTAATAATATCGTCTGCCATAATAACAACAAAAGTAATTTTATTTTCTTACCTGGTGCAGGCTTCAAATGGTATAATCCAAATTTAGGAACTCACTTTCCTGGTGAAGCATATTCAAAAATATTCTGAACATTAATCCTGCCATGTTCAGTGCAAAGGAATAAATTTTCACTAACACGAAACACACCGCATTCAAAAAAATTTTTCCTGCCCCACGTTGGGCGCCAAAAATTGTAAAATATTATATTAACTGTCAAGAATTTCAAGTTATCCTGGTTCAAAAAACACTAATTCAAATCACACATAACATCGAGGTAAATGAACAGTACGAATCAGATTTCTAAACTGCCAAGTTTATTCAAATCTAACACACATTCAACTGGCTCTGCCAGATCCAAGAACAAGAAGTATAACATCATGAAAGATTTACGCCCTCTTTGGCAATTAAAATATATTTCCACATAAAATTTCTTACAAGTTTTGAAGTAATTTTTCTCCCAACAGACTTTTTCTGTGCTCATCTCAGTATAGTCACTGAACCCTGGTGAACAGGCTGGCTGTGTGGACATTTCCATGATTTTCCTTAAGCGTAACGAGTATATGAGCCAATTTCCTTAGAAAGTCCTCCACATAAAAAGCATAAGGCATCCCTCCCCTTATGCTGATAGCCCTCGAGTGCTCTGCCATAATTAAATAAACCAACCAAACAAAATCATCTCAGTGTACATATAAATTATACCAAAATAAATAAAAATTCCCCAAAATTTACATAATTCTTCAAATCAAATCAATGTTTCTGAATGTACATGAAAAATGCACTAAAATAAAAATGTTGTGCTGATTTTTAGGATATGGCTATGAAAAGTGTTCAAAAGATTAAAAAAGGAAAGAAGGCTATGTTTTTTAAGTTTTATAGAAATAAAGAAAATACGAGAACTGTTTAAGCTGTGCAGTTTGCCATAAAAAGACAAACACCAATTAAAACAGAGTCTTGCAGTTTTGATGGATATGTGACTTACAGGACATCACAGAAAGATTGCTAAAGGTTTTGTTACCTTAAATATAGATCCTAGGAAAATTTGTAACTGGAACACAAGTAATTCCAAAAGCAAATTTTATCAAAATAATGTAGGAAACTTTTGTGACTATAGTTTCAATATTCAGGCCTGAAGAGTTTTGTAAATATAAAATTTACTTCATACAAGGTTCCTATAAAAAAAAAAAGAGGTCCAATTCGTATGCTTGTTATGATTTCGTACATTCTGTAATTTTACAAGCAAAATTCGTGCAGATATAACAAAATGATTCTGTTGACTTACATCTCTTTTCAATGCACATCAATGAACAAATCTGAATACTTTTCAAGCAGGTTTCATGAAGAAATTACAAAATAAGTGTTTCAGTGTTTAATGGCTCTATTGCATGAAACAACAGCTTTTGTTAATTAAAAAATATTAGCTAAACTTTCATGAAATATATGAAATATTTTGTATTTTAAGAAGTGAAAGAATAATGAACATTTTGCTAATTGGATGTTTTGCTCTACAAGGAAAACATAAAAAGTGAAGTTTTGTATTTTCAGAATCGATCTGCCCTCACTGCTGAAGCTGCTTATTAAAATTCTCTATCTTATTTTGAGAAACTCTGTAGTTAGGAGTACATGCTTAGTATGGACAGTTAAAACAACAAAGACTGGAACTTCTCCTTGTCAAATATGCTATACAATGTTCCCCAGTTAGTATGCATCTTGATATACATCGGTTTCAGATATAATGCAAATATTTCCCCAAACTACAATATGTGAGAAACATGATTCTGGATTTTTAAGTCTGGAAAAATAAAAATGCCAAACTATTTTTAAAGGAATTTTAGCATCTAATCAAATGGAGACTCAGGTTCAAGAAGAAGGGTGAGACAATGTAAAAGAAAGGTATCAGATATCTTTAAATGTGCACTGAAAGCTGTGCATACACTGAGGCAAGAATACAAAAAGTTGAAAGAAAAAGCTTATTGAAAATTACACACAGTTGAACATTTTGAAAAGTGCATTTTAAAATAATTGTATAAAAAGCACAAACATAATGTGATTCCGGTCATTCTATACAAATATTCAATTTTTCATTGAGCACCCATTTATTTCAGATAAAAAAAGCAAAAAACTATTAAACTTAAAAAAATAATAATAAATAATTGGGAATACTAAGGATCCTCAATTATTTTCAGAAAACAAATTCATATGGAAAGGACTTCTGCCCAAACAAAATTTCAAATGTTTCAGCAAGCAAAAAGTGCAGCACACATGCGTGTATCTGCTGCACACTCATAACATGCTTGTTAAGAGAAATGAGATATAAAAATACAATTTAGCACACATATAAGTTGAACAGGACAACAGGATTTATTGTACTTTGAAATGCTGGTATACTTTACATTTCTGAAAAAATTCTTAACCAAAACAAATTATAGAAATGATGGAAATATGACAAACTTTTGTAAAAATAACTGAAAATAAAATAATATATAACACAAGCACTTTTTAACTGAAAGCAAGCTTGTTACCTCTTCATGCTGTCAATGAAGTTATCAAATAGTTTAGCTGAAAATGATGGCCATATATGCCCCAACTTCATTCAAAAACCTTGGAATGGGGGGACAGAGTAGCTACATGCACTCCTAGATTATTTCATAGATGCTCAACTGAACTCAAGTTCAGTGGTCAAAGTCAACAGATTTCGCTGTAATATCATGGTCAATAAGATACTTGTTGAGTAAACAGCTTTAAATGATCAGACATATCATTCACTAAATTGAAGGATTCACCTGTGGCAGAAACAAAAGGTTTCACATGCTGATCAAGAATTTCATCCTGATCCCAGAACACATAGATATACATTACTAAATACATGCAGGTCGTTGTGAGCGCCCAAAGGCCCTGCTGAGCAAACCAGGATACTGCTCCTTTTGTAAATATCCCTTTGGATAATATATTGCATCATATTTCCCCCATTCTCCTGATAAATAACATGATGTAAGTCGCAGCCAACACAAGATCAGAATTCATACAGATTATTACCGAGCTTCATTCTTGCTTGCTCAACATAACTTGTTCACTTCGGCAATGTAGCAAGCTGCACAGTGTAAGTCAGGTACAGGTAGAAGTAGCACGAACACCAGAATATCATTATCAGGCATACAGGTATAGTCCTACCGCATTAACTGTGCATCCCAGTCCTAGTTTTGATGGAGAATACCTGGGAGAAAGGACAGATCTGAGGATCTTCCACCTCTCTTTCTCTAACACCAAACCACTAGAGAGGACTTTTGGCTTGTCAGTACTTTAAATGACCCCATATGCACAACCACTTTACTCTTACAAACATTCATGCCTTCTCTGGAATTTGACCCCAGGCCCAAAGATAAAGCAGCCAGTATAGCTAATCACTATACCGATTAGGGTGACAGTATAACGAGTCAGTGGAACATATGCAAAAGGTCTGATACACAACCCTTGTATAAGAAGCTGTCTCACCATTGAAATACATATCCAGCTTTCTGTTCTCACACAATAATTATCAGAGATATTTCCATCATCTGGTTGACAGCATAAAAATAGAAGTGAATATTTCGACTTCCACTTTTTGATAGGGCCAGAAAGCAATCATTAAAAGGGGCTGCAACAATTGGACAATATGAGACCATTCTTCTTGAAACTCCAGACTCACTAAGGAACTGATTCTGTAGCTTGCTAATGATACTGCGATTAACATTTAATCACCTTACCATTTTAGGCTGTGATAGGCCCAATTCCATCTAGCCAACTGTTTGCCATTTGAGTGCTTTATCTCAGATAATTAACTAATATAAGGTATTATATATTACTAATATAAGATACATGATTTATCTCATATAGCATGCACAATATTTCAGATAAGTTTCAATATTTACTTCAGACCTTTCCAAAAACAAAGCATTTGTGCACATGAAAATTAGAAGAGCTATATCTTTCTGAAATACAGACTCCCTCTAAAAAAAAGAAATTAGAGGCAATCCCCAGTCATGTAAATAAGATTCTCGATTTGCATCTGACTCTTATGTAAATTTGCATTCAATTCTTATGTAACATGTTCTAATCATTTTTAGTGCTATAGAGCAGACATGAACAGCATGCCAATCACAGATAATCATGTAGCACTTTTTTTTATATAAATCATATTGTGTTATTATACAGCTATAAATTATATAGTTTATTATTTTTTGGCCCCTTACTGACAGTAACTTACCATATACACTACTCTTATATGCACCCTAATATGACCAAATGTGGCAATATATATTCTGTGCTGACTTCTGGCTCAATTGCGTGTTGTATGGCAAGCTTGTTGACATTGAAAAATCTTTTTCTGGAGTGGTTTAATTGCTCGTTGGTTCATGTCGTGCGTGTTTTGAAATGGCCTATGTTGCTATGATAGACGTGATGGCAAGATTTCAGTCGCGTATTTTAGTTTGTGTGAAAAGTAAATTTAGTATTAAAAGGTACGATGTGAGTTCTTAACGAGTATTTTGTTCACAGGTGTATTTGTGAGGATTGAAGTGTATTCTCGAAATTTCTGTGGGACTTTTAAAACAGAGTCCGAAATGCGGAGCTGCTATGAGAACTTGGACAAAGAAGGGCATTTCTGATAGCTCTTGTATGGATTTGTAGTCAAATGGTTGCTGGTAAAGTATGTGGCTGTCAGCTGAGTTTAAGATTTGGATGGCGGTTTTTGTGTAGTAAGTTAACTTTGTAGTAAGTTTTTATCGCTAGTTTCGAAATTTTGAATCTCGGAAAGACATGTGATATAGCAAAATCGTGGCACTTTTGTTCAGAGATGTTGTGTGACTTGCGAAATTTTATTAACGAATGTGTTATGGTAAGAGCATTTTATTTTACTGTTTTTAATTTGTAGAATGTTATGTTCATTGCCTTTTTACTATGAATTTTTGTTGTTATTGTTGTTTTTTGAATTGTTTTGTAATTTAGTTTAGTTTATTTGGTTGATTCCTAGATTGTGCAATTCGTAGATTTTTTTTCAGTTTAAAAAGAATGCTGTGTACATGGTATTCTTTGAAATTTATTGTTGTTATGTTAATTTATTGAAGCGAGGTGTGCGTAGTTCGTAGATTCTTTCACGGCCTAGAATGTGCAATTCATAGATGTTTTTTGGAGTTAAGTGTATCAATGTCTACATGGATTCTTGTCAAATATTTTTGGTTAGAAACTTTATGTTTTTGCCATTTAAATTTTTTGTTTTTGTTTCGGATTTTTAGCTTAAGTTGCATCTTTAAAAGTGGTTTTTGCATGTGCGAAAAACCGCATTTTTGGTGACATTTTAGGCTTAAAATTCGAAATGTAGACAAAAAATTTGGCGACCTGAGGACGCATATAAGAGAAGTTCCCAACCTAGTAATGTAAAATTCCTCCTTGTTTTGTAATTCCAATTAAAAATGTAACATTGCCATGATATTGCCATGATATATATATTCTATATGATATTGCTATGATATATATATATATTCAATTGACATTGCCATGATATATATATTCTAAATGCACATGCAGTTTTATAACTTTCTATTATCGAAAGAAATAGAAATAATAGCAAATTCTCCTCCCCCCCACACACTTTTCAGTCTTAATTTCCCCTATCACTTTTCAAGAGGACACATGCCAAAACATGCTTCTTTTAAAAAAAAAAAACTAAAGGAATTAAAAAATTATTAACTTTAATTAATACATTCCAGTTACATGCCCATTAACTTTCATCATCAGCATCTGCTTTCGTGCCACTAAAAATGCACACTTTATAAAACATCTACTCTTTATAAAACATTTAAAACTCTAGTAGAACAATTAAAAATTGAATTTATTGATTTAAATACATATTTCAACACTTTTAACGAATCAAATATCTTTCATCGTGAATGTATATAGCAAGTTCTAGCTTTGTAAAAATAATAAGGCCTCTACATCAGCGTTTCTTAAACTGAGGGTCGCGGAACCTACAGCAGGGAGAGGCGTCACCAAAAATTTTAGCATTTTTGCTATTTCTTTAACTTATTATAATAATTTCACAATTACCAAATATTTTTACACAATGTATTTGAATATAGATAAAGATAAGACAATGCAGACAAAGAAAAAAGGAATGTTTCAACCATTGCTTTTTATAACAGGAACGTTAATTTTATTTGCTTTGCATGTGACGCTGTCATATTGTCTGTTACTTATTTAAAATATTCACATTGTTCTATCTCTTAAAACTAGAAATTAAAGTTAATGACCTAAAAATGCAATAGTAAATTACAAAACAATTGAAAAAATTGACAGTTTCACACACGCGTGTGTCGGATTTGCGCAATGCTTATGGGGTCCCACAAAATGTTCATAAATATTATGGAGTCATGGGGGTCACGAAAGAATCTCGGTGAAAAAAGGGATCACGACTGAAAAAAGGTTAAGAAGCCTTGCTCTACATAATGTATAGTAAATGGTGTAGTGCTTGCTTTTTTTAAAATATACAAGCTATAATCAGTGTTACAACATTTAAAGGATAACAGGTGACTTCACTGGAGTAAGAAAGTCTTTTGCAATGTTTTCAAAGTGTGGCTTCATTAAAGAGATAATTAAATCTTAAATTTTATGGCATCATTTCCTTCCCTGCCAACTTTGTAGTTGGCAACAATTCCATGGAAGCCACATATTAGCTGCACAAAGTAATTGCTAAATACAACACAACTGATTTTTGTACAATTTTATAATGATGCTAATTTGCATGAAAGCATTTTTATCAATTAAACAATACACTGATTAAGATTTTTTACTGACTAAATTAAAATATATTTCTTATTACTAATTAATCATGGGTAATTAATTTTGCCATCTGAAATATCAACCACGAACATTCCTACAACAATAGATTCGTATTATCAGGAACTGCTATATCATTTCAAAAATTCCCAGTCTATTTTGGATATTGTCAAATATGATTTTTGTTCTTTTTATAAAGTTTATCTTCAGTGTCAATTATTTTGCCCTTCCTTGAAACTGTTTTATATGCCTCTGAATTAAAAAGTCACAGTCCAGGGAAACTTTCATTTTAAAAGACTGAGATGCTATGCATAAAATAGCTGGTGTCCAGGCATTGTATAGCTGCATGCCCCAAACTACAATGGGCAGAATTCAAGGAAAATATTAAGAAATGAAATCTTTAGTGTCTGTGACCTCTGATCATGAAAAATCAAAGATATGGCATCACTAAAATACTATTATTCACTCTGCAAACCTAAAATACTAATAAACACTGTTATAGCGTGTACCATGGGGATTCATTTCACACCACAAACGATTGTTGTGGCACTCATAACCAACTACAAAACAAGTGTTTAACAGTTAATATCAACAAGTGTTCTATATAGTTATATACAGTTGCATTAACAAGTGTTACATACAGTAATAACAAGCATTATTTATACTTTAATAAAATTAAAGAAGTTTTCCTGATCAAACATATCTCATGTGTAAAAGGCACAAATATTCAAAATTGTACACCTGTACTGCATCTACAACATTATATGAATTTAACATATATGTGAAAAAAGAAAAAGAAAGAGGTATTATATATTATCTTGTCAACCATGAAACTGTCATGAAGTAGCGCGATCAAACTCATAATATTTGCACTTTCATTGATATAACTCTGATCGAGTCTGGAAAAACCATGTTTCATTTTTATGAATAGAGATATAAATTAACGGTTATTACTTTATTTTTCCTTGCATTTTGATAAAAAAAATATTAATACTTTGGACCTGCCTTCTACAAAACACCACGGAGCGGATTTTTTTCAAAATTATGGGAATCTGCCATCAAAAATTGTGTAATAGTGAACAAGATGTAGTCAGTTACATATGGCCAACAAAACAATAATAAAGTGGAACAGTTACCTGCCAGAATTTTTTACTCATAGCATACTAATAGTTTCCACTAAAATCAGAGGGCCTAACTAAACGGTAAAAATTGAAAGTATTTTTCTCAAGTGTATCAGATACTGTTTGGTTATTAAATAAAGAGGTTTCAGTTCCTTCAGAATTCCGCAGAAATGACTGGCATACCTTTATATAATCTCCTCCAACTTTCATGGTTTGATGGTAGCCAATTTCACGGTTGACTAGATAATACACATAAGTACCTAAAAAACATTTATTTAACATTAATGTACACAAAAATTTTACTTAGTGTACTCAGATTCTGAATTCTGGGCAACATTATTATGCTTTACTAACTGCAAACTAAGTAGGCATACAGTTATCATGGACATCATATGCCCATAAATATGTGACTTGTAGAAGAAGCATAAGAGATGTAAATAATTCAAAATAAAAAGCAAAAAATGAGATATGATGCAACAGAATTTGTAAGGAAGAACAAAATATTCCACATAAAACAACATTTTAGAATAAAATGCTGTATAATTTTTCGTAACTATTAGGCGCAAAATCAAAAAAGAACTGATGTATCTGCTAAAATTATTTATAACTCTTATAATTAACTTTTCATGGAATTAATCCTCCCTCAGCCACACAAGAATATACACTAAAGAGCCAAAACATTATGACCATTTACTCAACAAAGCGCTGGTGACCTTTCGCCTGCAAAACAACTGCAACTCGTCTTGGCATGGATGCCACAAGTTCTTGGTAGATGACTGGAGACAGGTTGCACAAAATGTTAACCAGCAGTCATGCAAAGTTGAGATATTCCGACGTGGTGGTGCTTGAGCTCTGAGCTGCCTTTCCATGACATAAAAAATGTACTCTATTGGGTTAACATACGGCGAGTTAGGTGACCAGGACATTAATTACAATTCATCCTTATGCTCCTTGAACCACTCAAACACAAACCTCGTAACATGAGGCATTGTCTTGTTGGAAGATTCCATTTCCAGTTTGGGAAGACAGATGCCATGTAAGGGTGCAAGTGATTTGCAGTTATGTTCAGATAGTCCACAGCTTTCATGGTCCAACCACACCTAAGGGTCCCAGAGCCACCCATGAGAACGCTACCCAAAGCATAATACCATCACCATCAGCCTGTGTATGACCTGCTGTACAGGGAGGAAGCAACTATTTGCTTGGAAAACGGCTTACCCTGACATGTCCATCGACATGATGAATGAGAAATCATGATTCATCTGACCAGCGAAAATTATATTACACTTATCCAAGACCACAGTTGGTGTACTTAACAATGACACTTGGTCAACAGAGGCATATGAGTGGGACGTCTGCTATGCAGTCCCATATCTAACAGTTTGCACTGAACTGTGTGTTCCAAAAGTCTTGGACTTGGGCCTGCGTTGTATTAGGCTGTCAGCTGAGCCACAATCTCGTACCAATTTTGCTTTACTAAGCGGGATAGTCTCCAATGTTCTTTTTCTTTTGATAAGGTGGATTTCTAACACCTTGGTGTCTACTGCTGCTTTCACCGTCATTTATCCACTCTGCATAAATACTAATAATGGCTAGTCATGAATAACCTACCAGTCATGCAGTTTCAGAGATATTCATTCCGAGTCTTTGGACCACTACAATCTGCCCTTGTTCAAATTTGCTTAAATCAGCAGCCTTTCCCATCACTCACAAAAAGTAAGTGCAAGAATGTTTCCTTACCTTCTCCAGCAGCAGTTAAATACCATTCCCACTTAATCATGTGTCCTCCATGTCATCCAGATGAGTTCATTGAAACATGTGAGGGTGGTCATAACGTTTTGGCTTGAAGGAAGAGAAAAAAAATTGCCTGATATTTCATGCATACAAAAATTCAATTATTTCAAATTACATACCTGCTGAACCAAGTGCAAGGGCATAGACAGCAGATCCACTTTGATTTATTAAAAATGGGAAAATATACTAAGGGGGGAAGAAGATGTATTTCAAAATTACTTATTTATTAAAATGAAATAAATCACACATAAAAAACTGATATTACAGTGAGTTCATGAAGGCTTCCCAGCTACACAATTTATTAAATTATTTTAACAGCAAAAATAACTTTATCATTAAAGATTAGAACATGCTTTAATAATAAGTTATTTAAATGTTGAAGTGAATTTTAAATATTTGGTTTTGTTTATGAATATCACTTTAATAATGTAAGCAAGAGTAATGCAACAAAATAAGAAGGAAATTTGGGTACTATTCGGTTTCGAGGGCCGTAAAAAATCGCCAAACTATTGTTGATGCCAGTGCTGCCAAAAGTAATTGCGGCAACCCTAACGCAAGAAAGGAAGTACAATAGTAAATATCTATCTAAATATTGATGTTTTAATTTAGATGAAAGGTTAATTTCATATAATATTTCGCTACCGAGTTATCGCTAAAGCATAATGTCATCTCGTTGGTTGTTCAAACATAATTTTCTATAATGAATGACACCTTTTCTTTGACAAAATTATCGGTAAAGTGCAGAATCGCACACTTATTTGTTTGCCCGCTTTTTACAAGGGTAAAAACAATTGGATTTTTCTCAAATTTTCTTTTACTTTTTAAAGTGACAAATAGGTCGATGTGTATATAGATAAAAATCAAGGGTGTGCGCAGTGCCATTTTTGTGCAATTCTTGGGATTTTTTTTTTTTTTTAAGTGAAAATAAGTCGATCGTACATGGATACCGAGTATGAGGAATTCTTAAAAACGCGTCAAGTAGTGGGTGATTCTGCACTTTATCCAAAATTCTTATCGCAGACTTTTCGTCATAGGCAATTCCTAAATTGTTAAATCCATAGGATATCGAAAAAGGAATTAAAAATTAAACTAGTATTTCAATGGCGTCTTAAGAAATATAGAACTATTTAAACTTACGCAATCTGAAATCAGCTCGTACGCAAGATTTGGCGCGCTGTTAAATGGGCGCGTTTGCTAGATTTGGCGCTTTCGCGTATACATTTTCGCTGCAATTTTTTTACGGCCCTCGAAACCGAATAGTACCAAAATTTTTGATTCTGAAATTTTTCATAAAATTTTTATGAACATGTCAAGATTGTAAGGAATATAAATTTGGAGTTTTATCCTGGCTTAATGTTATTATCATTGCATTTCTATAGTTGGCATACACGATTTAAATAAAACTGAAGCTAGATCTTAAATGATTTCATTTTAAAGGCCTTGACTTAAGTGATTATGTAAACATAGTGATGAATTTAAAGTTACGATTTAGGGCTTGGGAAGCAGATTATTTTAACCAACACAAATGTCTGACCATATGCAGACAAAGCAAAATGTCTGACGAAACTGCTGCTTATTTCTGTGCAAATTATCCGACTTACTTTTTGCTTTTCCGAGGAGCATTCTTTTTCCTGCTTGTAAGTGAATTGTATTCGGCATGATTGCTAGGGAGTCAAGTGAATATTTCTTCCTCGGAGGATAATTTTCCACTGTTATGTACTACCCCATATCAAAATGGCGAGGGCGCTAAGCCTACCTCATGGAGTGATATAATGGGAAGTACCGATAAAATGGATATCAATACCCTTGCAAATAACACGGATAATGTGATTTCGGAAAACGAATCGTTGAAATTTCTGCGGAATGTTGATCGTCTCAATCCTACAGATATTAATGTGGAGAAAAAGTGTGTCAACATAAATGTGCAATTAGCTAAAAAGTTAGATCAAGCTCATGCAGATGCAGTTATTAAATTTTATGGTGTGTGTCTTGAAAAGCTACAATTAGCTATGCAACATGATAATGGATTACTTGATACACCTGTGTTTTTATCATCAAATATTATACAGGAAATTCGAAAAAATGTGCATCTGTACCAGGAATATTCTGTTGATCTTCAAGGTAAGTGCGCATGGCTATGTTATAATTTATATGATACTGCTAAGTATGTACTTGATGAAAATTTTTGTGATATTAATACTAATGTTAGTAAAACTGCTAAGCATAAGAGAAAAAACTCAGCTAAACACGCTGATAAGAATAATGATGGATTCCGAAAACCTACTAAAATGGCCAAGGGTGTTAGGCTGACTCAGCCCCAGGCCCTAATACCCTTGCAAAATAAATTTGCAAATCTATCTGTACAAAATGCTAATTCTAATAATAATAATATACAGTGTAATGATGTATGTTATGATCATGTTAATGCCTGCATAGAAAATGTTGTTAATAATGTTACTGACTCTGATTTAAATTTGCCTAACAATAATGCTGCAAATGTAAACATGTCAAATAATAATGCAAATATGGATACTCCTGCTGGTGATGTAAATCCCCAAACAGGAAACCCACATCCGCAGTTTGACACTCAACCCCCCATGACTTTCTTAAAGACCTATCGAGCGAACTACCAGAATGTAAGTTCTTTGGCCATGTAACAGGAGAATTTCTAAAAGTTGAACCTTCCACCCTCAATGATCATAGAGCACTAAGTGAATTCTTCCTGCTAAATAACATAGAGCATTATGTAGTTAATCCTAAGAATAAAAAACAGATTCAAGGTAAGTCCTCATTAGAGGTCTACCTATAGATGCTGAAATTAGCACAATCACAGAGGCCTTGTGCAAGTTGAATTACAACGTAAACAAAGTTGTTCAACTTACTAGATATCGCCCTAAAGCACTAATGCCTCTCTTTCAAGCACAGATATTTCCAGATAAGAATACTAATGAAATTTATAAAGTTAAACATCTCGTGTACTTTAATGTCATTATAGAAAAATATGTTTCTAAGAACCCGGTGCCACAATGTCATAATGCCATAACTGTCAGAAGTGGCACCACTCATCAGAAAATTGCCATGTTGCAATCAGGTGCGTCAAATGTACCGGTTTTCGTAAAACTGGGAATTGTGACAAACTTGGCAGAATTGATAATCCAGTCTGTGTAAATTGCCTTGGGCCACATGTCACTTCTTACAGGGGTACCCTAGGTTCCCCACCTACAAAAAGTCTATTAAACCATCTATTGTTAAGCCAGGAGTTAGTTATGTCCAAGCAATAAAATCCTCAACAAACTCAAGCAATGCCTCTGCCACCAATGTCTCTACGGATGCGGGTAACACTACTAAACAAAATGTACAAAGTGATGCTGTTCATATTCCTGCTAATAAGAGTACCAGTACTTCTGCAAATGCTAAAAGTCAAGATTTACCTTATGTAAATCCAAATTCTGTAAAAAAAATAGCACAAATTATATATTTGAATTAACCAAAGTTATGAAAGAACTTGAAAATATATTTGGATGTAATATCAGCCAAATTATTTATATTTACAAAAGCAAGTTACCCGAATTTCGCAAATGTGATAATATATAAGACAAAATTCAAGTATTGCATATGATTTTTGAAGAAATTCACGGGCTAGCTAATAATGTGTAATTATGGATAATGATCTTGGAATTGTAACATGGAACGCTAACGGGTTACTCCATAGACTAGACGAACTGCATATCTTTGCAAATGAGTATTGCCCTGATATTTTACTCCTACAAGAACACAAGCTTAGTTCACAATTTACTTTTCAGATTGCAAACTACGCCTCTACAGATATGACCGTGAGCGTACAGGTATCAGACATCCAGGAGGAGGACTTATCATCTTCATTAAGCGCTCCATCACCCACCACCTCACAACACTGCCACAGCTTTTAGCCGTCGAGGCCACTGCTATCACAGTCACCCATACTCACAGTTATCTCTGCCTATGTCCCATGCAAAAAGAGATCTCAAGCGAATATTGCGCGTGACTTTGAAGCGCTATTCCAACTCAATAGAAAAACAATAATAGGCGGAGACTTCAACGCACACCACCGCGCATGGAACTGCAATCACTCCACATACCTAGGTACTGTAATTTACCGCTTTGCCAATGAGGCAGGAATTATTATTGCAGCTCCAGATACCCCAACACGCTACAACGACAAATCAGCCAATGTTTTGGATTTCTTCCTTCTAAAGTAGGGACCTCTGTCTGTAGCACATCACACAAAAGGGCCTTTATTACAAACTGGGCAGGATATGCCAAAGCCTTAAACAACACCACACTACACATTCCAACAGCATACACAAGTGATGAGTTAGACGCATTGGTTACCAGCTTCACTACTGATCTGATAAATGCTCTTGATGCCAACAGCACTCCTGTCTCTCACAGGAAAAAAGGCCACAGACCCTGAACTTAAAACGTTCATCCAAAAAAGAAATGCTGCCCGCAAGGAATGGCAAAAGTACAGATATCCTGCGGATAAGACTGTATTAAATCGACTAAACCACCAGGTCAGGGATCTCGCACACCAACACGCACAACGCGACTGGGCCAACTATCTCTCTTCCCTTTCAGCGGAGAAAAGCTCCACCTGGAAGGCAACTGCAAAATTAAAGAGATGCTACACCAACATTCCGCCCTTAAACGGCCAACAACAAATTGCCACCACCGAAATTGAGAAAGCTGAGTCACTAGCTGATCACTATGCTTCTCAATTCTGCACAAACAACATCTCCCACACTCCAGCAGAACACTTGGTTAACAGTACACTAACAGAATTCTTCTCAAAGCCACGCACGAACAACATTACTCCTGTCAAACCATCAGAGGTCTACGGCTACATCGAGAAACTACACGTAAACAAGAGTCCTGGGCTGGACAAAATTTCAAACAAAATGATCGAAAGCATGGAGACCCTCATGCTATTAAAACTTGTTGCTATTATCAACGATATGCTTCGCCTGGGCCCCTATATCACTATTCCATCGCCTGGGCCATGGAAGACAGCCATCATAACCCCAATCCTAAAGCCTGGAAAAGCCACCTACAGAGCCAGCTTCTTACAGATCCATCAGCCTCCTATCTTCGCTCAGCAAGGTAGCTGAATACATCATCCTACAGAGAACCCTTACCTATACTGAGCTAAACAACATCATCATCCCACAGCAGTATGGGTTTCGTAAGAAGCACTTTACTATTCACCAGCTCTACAGAGTCACTGAGATGATATCACAAGGACTTCAAGACCGACAAGCTACAGGTGCCATCTTCCTCGATGTAGCTAAAGCCTTTGATCAGGTTTGGCTTGAGGGCCTCATGTACAAAATCATCACTCTGGGTTTCCCAGAGTACATCACAGCCATCACCTACTCCTATCTTAAGGATAGACACTTTATCGTTCGTGTAAACAATTCACACTCTACGGGATATCAAGGCTGGCGTCCTGCAAGGGAGCCTCCTTGGGCCCATTTACTACAATATCTACACGAACGATATCCCACAAGCACCACACACCAACCTGGCAATGTACGCCGATGACACGGCAATTCTCTCAATAAATGTATAAATGTATCTCCTGGCCCAGTTATAACAAGCACTCCAAAGCACACATCCACACACTTGAGTCCTGGCTCAAATGCCTGGAAAGTAAAGACCAATGTCGGATAAATCTGAAGGCCGTATTGGTTCACCAAAGGAGAAACTACCATCGACAACGAAGACTGCATTCCATATGTATGACACCCCGATTTAGTAGGACTAAGCAAGCCCGATACCTTGGAATTACTTTTGGATAGGCAACTCACCCTGGACCCCACACATTACACAGATTATTGCCAAGTTCCGTGCCCGTAAACGAACACTTACCCCCTTAATTGGCCGGAACTCAGTTCTCTCTATTGATAACAAATTGCTCATTTACAAGACCCTTTTGCATCCCATACTCTCATACGCCTGTCCTGTTTGGGGATACGCTAGTATTACTAATGTTAAGAAACTTCAAACACAGTAAAATATATTACTTAGACAAGCGGCGAACTGTCGATGGTTCATCAGAAACTCGGCAGTTCACCAAGAGCTTGAGATGCCAACGATATATGTTCATTTTGCTAACCTTGCTGAAATATTCTACAAAAATATCCCTAATGTCAACAACAGCACTATTCCAGTGCTTAACTACAACTTTAATACTGAAAGAAATAGAAAACGACCGCTTGCGGTCCTCAGGTACCTAGATCAGTAACCTGTCTCTTTAATTTACGCATTCACCTAATTGTCACAACTTAAATATATCTATACACTATTTCATACTGATTGTTTTCTGGTGTTGCTGTTTTGCTGTAAATGTTTGACCTGTATATATTGTATATATTTTATTTTTCACCATGCTTTATATTCAATGTTACTTACTACTATTATGTTCACTTCACACGAGGACTCTCATATTCAGTGAGCTTTAGGGACTTTTTTTGTTTTTCTTCTCTCAATGCCAATTGCTCATCATGCGCACTTACCTTCGTCATGGCCCGCACCCACAGGGGTATTTCCGTTGGACTCATCTACGTACTCTTCCAGACTTTTATTACTGCTCTGAACTTTCATTTCTATCGACATGTACTACAAACTGTTCTAAAGTCGGAAGCATTACGCCGGGATAGCGACTTCACGCGGGTACCCGTTTTTGAAACTCTATGAGTTTGCCTGAGCCGACCATATGCAAGCTCACTGTAACTCATTACACTACTTCGGCACTGCATACGAACAATATGTCAGAAAAAGAGGGAAAATTTCTCAATTTATATGCTGCTCAGGTAATCCTCTATGCATCTACTTGTAAAAATGTATAGGTACTATTCCGTTTTGAGGACCGTAAAAAAAATTGCAGTGAAAATGTATGCGCAAAAGCGCCAAATGTAGCAAACGCGCCCATTTAACAATGCACCAAATCTAGCGTACGCGCTGATTTCAGATTGCGTAAGTTTATATAGTTCTATATTTCTTAAGATAGCATTGAAATACGAGTTTAATTTTAAAATCCTTTTTTTTTTTATTTTAAATCCTTTTTTGATATCCTATGGATTTAACAATTTGGGAATTCCCATGACGAAAAGTTTGCAATAGAATTTTGGGCAAAGTGCAGAATCACGCACTGCTTGACGCGTTTTTAAGAAGCACATACTCGGTATCCAAGTACACATCGACCTATTTTCACTTAAAAAAACAAAACAAAAATCCCAGAATTTCTCAAAAATGGCACTGCGCACACCCTTGACTTTATCTATGTACACATCGACCTACTTTCACTTAAAAGAAAATTGACAAAAATCCAATTGTTTTTACACTTGTAAAAAGCGGCAAACAAATAAGTGGGCGATTCTGCACTTTACCGAGAATTTTTTCAAAGAAAAGGCATCATTCATTATAGAAAATTATGTTTGAACAACCAACGAGATGAAACTATGCTTTAGCGATAACTCAGTAGCGAAATAGCGATGCAGGCATCCATTCAGTTATGTTTAGCAATTTTTATATAAATTATAATAATGATCTGAAATAGTTATTTGCTTTTATGCTTCCATTCAGTCATGTTTAGCCTTTTTATATAAATTGTAATAATAAAAAAGTATTATATGAAATTAACCTTTCATCTTAAATTAAAACATCTTGCGTCCGGGTTGCCGCAATTATTTTTGGCAGCACTGGCATCAACAACAGGTTGGCGATTTTTTACGGCCCTCAAAACCAAATAGTACCAATTTATAATTCAAATTAGGAACAAACGTAATAATCAAGTAATCCTAATCCTAATGTTAAGATGGACTGTGATACGAGTTGGGCCAGATATTGGGAGTTCTACTAAATAGACAATAGGTTTTATTATTATTAATACATTATATAATAAACTTTTCTCAGAATACATTGAAAATAATTGATTCAAGATTTTGTAGAACAGATATCTCTATTAGCCATCTTGCTCCATAAAAATCTATACATGTTGTAACTATAGAAAAGATAATGGCAAGAATTTTTGACAATCAGTGAAGAGGGCTAGTAAACAAACTTTTTGTATAAGTAGCTCTAATGAAAGGCAACTCAGATTTGATACTTGAAAGAGTTTATAGTAAGTTACATTCTCTAATGAAGAGAAATTACAATAATATCTGTTAATGCTTAGAAAACATTTTAAGAAAATAAAGAGCTACGTGAGTGTTTTCACGACAAATAGAAACTGAACTGCTTACCAAAACAGCATGAAATGGGTCATTTTAGGTCACCAAAAAAAAAGGGGGGATCTTGTTTTGACGTTAAAGTAAGATTTTACGAAGAAATTTAGAATTTAGGTACTTTCGTATCAACATATACCTTAGTAGTTGTCACCAAATTTTCAGAATGTGCCAAACTCTGGCAACCATGTGCATAACCATTCTTCCAGCAACCATGCACATAGCAAGCTTTCACACAAGCAATGCTGCCATTTTCACATGCTTTCTTTTTGTTGTTTTCCAAGTTCCAACAGTTTTTATAACAAATCATAATTTTTTTTGGCTTTAAATTTAAATTTAAAGTATGAGCTTTAGGAATTTACCAGCAATGGAAGAAACTGCATTAAAATTTCTGTAGGAATACAGAATTTTGCTGAAAATTTTCTGAAGGGAATAAATAATAAGGAGATATGATTTCAAGATAGCCACTGTTGCTGAGGATTGCATGAAGCTGAGTCTCTGCAATTCTCTGAATTTTAAGTGAAACCAGATTTCTGTTAACTTCAGGAGAAGAACAGCATGTAAAAATTACAGAAAGACTTGAAGAATATAAGTGTTTTATTTTTTAATGTATCACATAATCCTTACTCAGTAATTCAAATTTGTATTTTAATTTGCTAAAGTAAGTTTTCCTTTCATATGTTGATTATATTTACCAGTTTACAATAAATATCAAAAGTTTGGGAATTGTTCTAAAACAATGGCACAAAAACCAACAATTTGCACAAGATAAGTAATTTTTACCTTTTTACCCCTAAAAAATCGCCCAAACTGCACCAAGGTGGTCGCGTTAATATGCAAGTACCGAAATTTAATAAAACTAATGTCTTAATGATCAATTTATTTCTTGCTTTCCAACTATGATGACTTTTTTAAACAACTTCTGGTTAAGTATTTTTGATAAAATATTACTACAGAATACATTATTTAGCAAAGAAACATCATGTGTGCCTTTCCTTTTAAAATTCAAATTAGCTCTGCCCCTAAAAGGCTATAATGTGAACTATTAAGTAATAAGTATCATTCAGCAGAACAAGTGAAAAAGTTTCCGTCAAACAAAATTTGATAATTCAAACATTTCAGTTGCTATATGTATTTAGTGACAGCTAAAAAGTTTTGATACCACTACAGGCAAATTAATAATCAATGTAAATTTAGCCTTTTCTGGATTCAAGCAAGATAGCTTTAGAGCGATACAGGAAAATTTTTTAAAAAATATGCTGAATATAAAAACAACACTTAAAATACATTTATGAACTAGTTAATTACCTTCCAGTTCAATATAAGAAATTTTAACTCAGCAAGCCATTGACTCAAGAGATTATCTGCAGAAACATTTTCAATACCAGCACTCCCATGTCGTAATAACGGCGTGGAAAGGCCCCATATAGCTGCAACTATGATCAGCCACAATATTGAAGCTATAATTGAAGCAAATGTGAGATCTACCTGAACATAAACTAATTACTGGCAAATCAAGAAAGATAAATGTTTCCCACATTTAAAATTATCCTTCCCAAAAAATTTTATTACGAATAAAAAATGAAAATCTAATACTAAAACAAGTAGAAAAAATGCTATCCAAATGAACTTACCTATGCTTACCATATTAATTTGAAGGCAGAAATCTTGTCCTAAGGTGTTGGCTCTACATTCCAAAGATGTAAACTCCTATCCTAAAAATTAAACGAACATAAAAATGAATGAATAACAAAATAAAAATAATTAATTATCTTTTTTCATGTAAAGACATTTATTATTTACATTCACAAGATATTTAAAAGTAATACCAACTCATGCTCATAAGCAGGTCAACACCTTTGACTCCTTTTTTACGGTAAAATAGGACGACGTGTACATGGATAAAGTTAGGGGAGTGCGCAATGCCTAGTTTGTGCAATTCTTTGATGTTTTTTGAAGTGAAAAATAGGTCAATGTGTACAAGGATACCGAGTTTGTGCATTCTTTGACTTGTTATTTTATCTTTGTGTCGCGGCAATTTTCCCGCTACACAAAACTTGCCAAATAGAAACTCCATGGCGCCATATTACTATCTAAATTTTCTGTCTACATTTCGAACTTTAGGCCTAAATTGTCTGCAAAAATACGGTTTTCACACGTGCAAAAACCACATTTTTTACACACAATTTATACCAAAAATCCTAAACAAAAACAAAAAATTTAGATAGCAAAAATGTAAAGTTTATCACCAAAAATATTTGGCAAGAACCCATGTACACAACGACCTGCTTTAACTTAAAAAAACATCAGATAATTGTACAAATATATGCAGCGTAGGAATCTAGGAATGATGCACACCTCGCTAAAATAAACTAACAACAATAAATTTAACAATACCACACACACAGTGTTCTGTTTAACTTACAAAAAAATCAGCGAATTGCACAATCTAGGCATTGTGCACAAATCAACAAAATAAATTACAAACAATTCAAAAAACAACAATAACGACAGAAATTCATAGGGGAGAAAAAAAAAACGAACATAACATTCTACAAAATAAGAACAAAAATAAAATAAAATGCACTTACCATTGCGAATGCTTCTTCAAAGAGCAGAAATATCAATTTCAAACATTAGCAAAACTCATCAATTTCCACCACTTTATTCTTCCACCTTATCTTCTGAGACAACAAAGCATACAACGTGCAGCATACATTCGTGAATAAAAATCCACATAAATACACCCATGAACAAAAGACTAGTTAACAACTCCAACATCATACTTTTTAATACTAAATTTACCTTGCACACAATCCAAAATATGTGACTGAAATTTTGCCATCATGCCTTTCATTGCAACATAAGCCATTTCAAAACGCCCACCAAACCAACCACTCCAGTAAAATAAAAGTTTCAACGTCAAAAGGGTTGCCATACAAACAACGTCGTGCCAAAAACCAGCGCAGAACACACAATCGTACCAAAAACCAGTGTAGAACACATATCCCCCCATTTGGCGACGCCATACATCTGAGGGCATATAGTATAAGAATAGTACAAATGTTTGCCTTTTTCATTTTAGAGTTTATCTTATAAATACCTTCCGAGAAAATATTCAGCAAAGTAACTCATCATAAGCATTGCATCGTTAAAACTGCAAAGGTCACAAAGGTCACACATGTACTATGAATTCATTCTCCCACATCCGCTCAAGCATAAGAGAAGTCTTCCATCCTGAGAAAGCCTTTATCTCACGGAAAGTTGCAGTGAAAGGAGAGCACCCTTGAATTCCACAGTAAAGCACTGGTCTCCTCGCCTGCTCTCAGATATCAACTAACTATATATAGGTTGGTAATAATTAAAGTAACCCTACTCAGATGTATGTAGAGTCTGTTCTGGTCGGTGTGCAGAGGGTGCTAACACATTTTTAGAGTGATATCAGAGCCATTTAATTAATGTTTAAATTGTTAACAACATTTTTTTAAATGCTTGATCTCATAGCCTTTCTTCTATTTATGAGATGGCTATGAGATTTTTCTGGCTAGTCTGTTTCATGATTTCCATGACAGAAGAGCTTTTTTGCAAAATTTCCAGGATTACTGATTTCCATTTCTCTTTTACTACGTTCCACAATCCATCAATCATGAGAAGTTTGCATTTAAAAAGATCTATTTTCAAAAGTACAAAGGCACAATGGTCCACAGGTGAAACATCAAGGGCTTTGCAAGAATATGTTGAGAAGGTATATATGTAATACCTGTATCAATTTTTTTAAGGAATGCAATGGTACTTTTCGAAGTGTGACTTGTAGCTTGTCTTGATAAAATTTCACTATTTGAAAGTCACTGAGATAAAGAAATAGAATTTCTTCTGTAAATAACGGATGTAAAACATTCTCTTGATAGCACGTTGAGCTGATTTTAATGGGTTTTTTCCCTCCCTCTCTTCTTACTTTTAATTTTCCATAATAACAGAATCCTGTAAACAATCATAAACCCCTTACTCATCATTTACGTAAACCCATGCTTTATCAAAGGTCATAATGTATTTCAATTTCTCTCCTACTAAATAGTTTTCAAACAGGCCACAGAAATTGCTGACAAATATTACATTTTTTAGCTTTTTAAAATTGTAAATCTTGGCTTATTATTTTATTGTTGCCGCAGATGTATTTAAAGACTCTGCATTTGATATCTGTGTTGGCAGTATGTATCTCTTTTGGACATTCGTTTGGAGTCCTCGTTCCATGTAGAAGTAATGACCGATGGTTTTTCCCTTTTAGAAGTTTTAAAATACATTTAACAATATTTTTTTTTATCACGAAATAGGAATATTTCTCTTTGAAAAGTGCAAAAAGATATTCTGCAATGCACAACTTGTTCACACGTGACATTTTGAATGAAGAATAAACTTGAAAGTAGTAGATGATATTTCTCATTTCAAATAACAACTGTTGCTACCTATTTTTATTCCAAAACATTTTTTTTTTAAGTCTTTATCAGAATCTTTCTGAAAACATGTAAACACCCTCTGTATTTCACTGAAACCTGACACATACATGACATAGACCACAAGGAAAAAAAAAACTGAAATAAAGTTTAATACCTTAAATAATGACCACCAGATAAAAAGTGGAGCATCAAGAACAAGAAACACAAAGTGTAAACATAAAACTTTATTTAATGACAGCATTTATTCGATGTGCATTATATTTACGTCACTGACATGTGTCTTATATGTCATGAAAGAGGTTTGTACCATGTTCAACAGTAGTGTGAAGGGTTTCTAAAGAAATTGCAACATCATGGCATGCTACGCTCTCTTTCAAAGTTAAGGCAGAGTCCATATGCTTCTTCCACAGATATGATCATATAGGAATCCCCACAACCAGAAATTACAGGAATTAAAATCTGGAAAATGAGAAAGCCACGCATTCGGAAAAAATTCTCAAAATTACTTGATCATCTCAAATGTGAGTACAAAGTAGTTTCTTCACTTGTTGACCAATTTGGTATGTTGCACTCCCTTGTAAGAAGACATCAGTCTCTAACCATTCTTGTTCATGTAAAGCAGGAATGAGCTGCTGCTTTAGCATTTGTAATGGCAAGTAATTGATATTTGTGAGGGTACACGTTTTAGGGCCTTCAGGAGTACTCTTCTCAAAGAAAAAGGGACCAAGAATGAAGTCAGCAGTAAAACCAAACCATACAGTCAGGTAATCAAAATGCAGAGGCATTTCTTACCCACCATTGAAACTTGTGGCCTATATGAGAATCGCCCCACATGAGACAGGTCTAAGAATTTGCTGCTCCATCTAGATAGACTGCTCCTTGTCTCATCACTAGATGTTCAAACATGCAGTGTCAATGAATATCCATGCCGAAATTCAGCCAGTGCATTAATATGAGTCTAGAGTGTGCAGCTTTTTTTACCATGAGGATCTTTTATGGATACCATTTCAGTCTTCTGATTACCATGATTGGCTTTATTCAGTCATGAGAAATTTTATCACTTGGTATATATTAGCTCATAATTTAAGATATTTTGCTTTCTCACTTTCTTTAATAATGTAAATGAATGACTCGAGAACCTCAATGAATGCTGAATGCCTCAATGAATTGAGCCTCAATCTTAATGAATGTAAGTTTATGAAAAGAGAGAATAAAATAAGAAATTATACAAATTTAGCTAATAAATGCTGTTTAAATACAGTTATCAAGAGATTATCAAGAGACTGTTCTGTTATCAAGAGAGAGACCGGATCCCGAAATGTATGCATGTATGTATGGATGAATGTGTTCATATATGCATGTATATATGCAAACATGAATGTATGTGTATACATAAACACATATATGCACATACAAATACATACACACACGCACACATTCCTACATTTCAGAATCTGATCCCAGTAACAGAACAGTACCTACAGGTCTTCTTGACAGATCCAAAAACCCATACCACTCAAAGTGTTAAAATGGAATGCAAAACTTTTCATACTGCAGATTAAGGGGTAGACAAATTATGTGACAATGCTCAAAGACTTCTTGGAGAATATCCGGAAGAGGACACTCTGTCAAACACAGTTACAGTGACTTCTTTAGCCTCATCTTAAAACTGTTTATGTCTTGTTCCTAGCAGCATATCCAAATGGCCATTCTCTTCAGATTTTGTTATCAGCTTTTACAAAATATCTTTTGAACATAAGCCCTTTCTGCATGGCTTTCAAACTTTAATATCCTCGCAATGCAGCAAAACTCTTACTGCAGGTATGATTAAAAAAAATAAAAAAAAAAAAAAAAAACTCGACTAGTAAAGTTCATTTTTCTTCTTTAAAGGCATGGTGAAAAATCATTATATAGAGCATTGACTAATGGCATTTTAAAAAGTTCCTAATTTGCATAAGCATCTACAATGCATGAAAAGCACCATCAAATGGTCAAAAAATTTGAACTGTTAGTTTAAATTGTAGTTTTCTGTTTCCCATAGCCTATATAAGATACGTACGAAGTTTCAACAAAATATATCAACCAGAATAGGCTATACATATGTCTGAGAAGGGTCATTTTAATTATAACCATCCTGCACAACGTGAATTGGTTGTTATTTCAAGACTTACTGCCAGATATTTAAATTTAACAGATTTTACATCCTCCCCCCCCCCAAAAAAAAAAAGATTGGGACGGAGAGTTGTAGCAGATTACAACTGCCTTTCATCCCTCAGCAATTCAATAATGTAACAGTAATAAGAAAAAGAACTGGATATTATTTACACTTTATAACAGTTTGGATGTTACGTGTGATGGCATGGTGGTTTGCACAGACTCACTGTTAATTCAAAATTGAGGCTCTTGATTTACATGATTTCACCTTCATTTTTGAACTATATTATTTTTGCGCTATTAAACTGGCTGCTTATGTCTTATCTTAACCACTCTTCTGCAAGAGTAATATCATCCATCCCTGGACGACATTTTCGGTGATGCCGGCATAATGGGAGAAATAAAAGAAGCTCCACTATTTTTGTTGATGAGCAAGTTTTTATATATCAAGGGTAACACTTTAGATTGCTTTCATTAAACATTATACAGTACACAGTCTGCGATTCGGACTCGTTGGGACTTTGGTGATCCCGGATTTGTTCTGGATATTAGATTTCGCTTTGATTAAACATTATACAGTTAAAATTCCATAATCGGGGTGAGCGCCAAGCTTGGCGAGAGTTTTTTATTTGGCGCGATTTTAATTTGGTTGTGGTTTCCAGCTGTATGTTTTCTTGTGGCAAACCTAGAGCTTTATTTCGGTAACTGTAAAAGTGCGAATTTAGTGTAGCCAGGTTTTTTTTTTAAATTTAATTTTGAAATACTGTGTTTGTTTTAAAAGTTTCACTGTTTAATATTATTGTTATATATATTATATTTATATAAATATTTGCAGAAGGTTAAGCTGTTGTTGGTGGGAGAATGTTGGATTTCATATAACATGAAGTTTATAATTTATGAATGTTTTCATTTAATTTTATTTATTTATTTTTTAAAGTTTTGTTTCTTGCATGTGGCAATCGAAAGATGTGGAATATTAAAAGCTTTTAACGAAAATTCTTTAGTGTGTTGAATTCCACGACGATAGTAACTTGAATATTTTAGTTAGTTTATAATGCTGAATACGCATAATTTGCTATTCCGTTTACGTTTAAAACTGACTTCGCAGTGCTCTGACCTTATAAGTGTATACATTTATTTACTCAATAATTATTTACAAGAATTGTTCATTATACTATTTTATGATGAATTACATATATATAGGGCTATGCTTTTACTTGCAAAGTTGTTGGACTTTGTTTTACTCATCTAGTATTTTATCATCTGATTTTACTATTCTGTTTGCATAAAATAACGGCGTTTCACAACTGCAAAACTTAAAAGTTACTATTCTGTTTACGTTTAGAAATCACATTTTAGTGCTTTCATTTAGTGCGCCTAAAAAATTCTCCAAATTTTGAAGGCCAAAATAGTTTGGCACCAACTTACCCCGCTTATGGAATTTTAGTCCATTATACAGTACAAAGTCTGAGATTCAGACTCGTCGGGATTTTGGCAATCCCAGATTTGGGATTTTTCTAGGGAACTAACCTCGCTCGGCGACAAATTTCTCACCAAATGTTTTTGGCAAGAAACTCCATGGTGCCATATTACTATCTAAATTTTTTGTCTACATTTTTTCAAACTTTAAGCTTAAAATGTCTCCAAAAACGCGGTTTTCGCACGTGCAAAAACTGTGTTTTGAACACACAATTTAAGCTAAAAATCCAAAACAAAAACAAAAAATTTAGATAGTAAAAACAAAGTTTCTAAACAAAAATATTTGGCAAGAATCCATGTACACAGCAATATGTTGTTAAGTTAAAAAAAAATCTACGAATTGCACAATCTAGGCAGCGAAAGAATCTGCGAACTACACACACCTTGCTTTAATAAATTAACATAACAATAATAAATTTCAAAGAGTACCATGTACACAGCATCCTGTTTAATCTTTAAAAAAAAATCTACGAATTGCACAATCTAGGCATTGCGCACAAATAAACTAAAATTACAAGCAATAATAGAAATTCATAGTAAAAAAAAAAAAAAAAAAAAAAAAAAAAAAAAAAAAAAAAAAAAAACAATGAACATAACATTCTACAAAATAAAACCAGTAAAATAAAATGCACAAACCATAATAATTCGTTAATAAAATTTTGCCAGTCACACAACGTCTGTCAACAAAAGCGCCACAATTTTGCTATATCACATGTCTTTCTGCGATTCAAAATTTCGAAACTAACGATAGAAACTTCCTACAAAGTTAACTTACTACACAAAAACCCCGATCCAAATCTTAAACTCTGCTGACAGCCACATACTTTACCAGCAACCATTTAACTGCAAATCCACACAAGAACTATCAGAAACGCCCTTCTTCATCCAAGTTCTCACAGCAACCGCATTTCAGACTCCGTTTTAAAAGTGTCACAGAAATTCGAAAAATACACTTCAATCCTCATAAACACACCCGTGAACAAAAGACTCGTTAACAACTCCAGCAACGTACCCTTTAATACTAAATTTACTTTCCACACAATCTAAAATACGCCACTGAAATCTTGCCACCACGTCTATCATTGCAACATAGGCCATTTCAAAACACACACGACACGAACCAATGAGCAATTAAACCACCGCAGCAAAAGAGTTAAGTTTCAATGTCAAAAGGGTTGCCATATGAATAACATCATCCCCAAAACCCAGCGTAGAACACATATCGACACATTTGGTGATCTTTGGTGGGCATATATAAGAGTAGATAGAGCCTTTTCTGGATATTAGATTATCAGCTTAAATCTAGTAAGATGGCATCTAGAAATTATGCAATTAAAAATATGAAATCGTCATTTATAAAACAATGAAGCGTTTATGATCTAAACAGTATCAAAATTTACAAAGGAAAAAAAAAAAACCTTAATATTTCCTTGTTTACTTTATTAAACCTTTCTTTAAATGCAAATTGTTTAAGTTGCTTTGTTTTTGTGCTAATACTTTGTCTTCAATTCTATAAACAGATATAATTTCTTGTTCAGTTACAACATTCCATTATTCAAGTCCTGTGATTGCTATGTCAAGAATTCCGACTAATTTGTCAATTGAAATTTTTTCATTTTCAATAACCCCTCCGTCACTTTCCTCACTATCAGTAGTGGTATTTTCTGCATCTAAATCATACTACAGATTTCGCAGTTCGTTCATTGACTGATGAATTGGGGCATTGCCATTGCAATGAAAAACTTCTGTTATATCACTTTCATTTATTACCACTTCTCCACATTTATTTACAAAATGCATTAATTGAAAAATTTTACCTTTGGTTTGCGATAACTGAAAACTTTTATATTTGTGGCTATTATCTTCATCATCCTCACCATGAAATATAGTTGCTGGCCATAAATTATGACAAACATTTTTTTAAAGTATCTGAAGACACATCCTCCCATGATCTTGTGATACTCCACACACTAGATTTTATGCTAAAATATTTAAAACATTCTTGAATTGTCTTGACATTATTCAAGAAATTTAACATGCACTTTAAAAATGCTACTTTATATTTGCATTTCAGCGCGCACTCTATTCCGATATCCACAGCCTGAATGATGGACGTATAATTTGGAGGGAAAAATACTCGTATTATGAATACATTATATTTCACTAGTGAAGTACCAGTTGTACAGTTGCGTAAGATCAGGACAACTTTTGCGTCATCAGGTAAACC